ACCGGGAGCCCTGGGAATATCCTTGACTCTTACTCTCTGTGTAGACCATGCACACTCCATTCCTGTCCTTCCTTTTAAAAACAGCTGTAAGATCTGCATAGTTCAGCACAATTTTGTTTCTTTGTAAAAGATCACATATGTTAGAAGTCTGTATTTTAGTTCATTTGGCCTTTCAAATGTGGGTGTGTTTCTTCCAGCAAAATTAAACTTGTCCATTGATAGCTGAATAAATCCTGCTTAGAAATTATGCAGCTGAACAAAACCTGTTTCGTTAGAAGCACTGAAGATGGAATTACAGGACTGAGTTCATGAACAAATTGTGTCTGCCTGTAAACCTAAAGGAAGATCACCTTCACCCAAATACTCTCACTGGCCTTTCCTTGTTTGCTTGAAACACAGCCAGAGTTGTAAGGACTATTTATGGAGTTGAATTTTCCCTACCTTTGTGAAAAGGATTATTTTTTAAGTGCAGCAAAAGCTTTATTTCTCAAACTTAATATCCTTACAGACCATGATAAACCTGTGCTTGTTCCTCATACAATGTAATGTGTAGAATACAATTAATTAGGATTAATCAAATAGTAAATTAATTAGGATTAATCGAAGCTCCTTTGTGTTTAGGGATAAATTGGCAGTGCTTCAGACATTGGCTTCTACTGTGAACAGGGTGAGTAGTTCATTGGTCATGTTCAGGTTGTCCATCTCAAGCAATAGCCTTGTGTTCTGGAGGCTCTTGTTTCTACTTTGGCCAAAAATGGAAGGTGGGACTTTTACATCGGGGTTTTTTTATGGGATTTTCACTTTTGCTCAGCAATTTTGCTGTGTTCTTAAAGCCTCATTCTCGTGCTAAGAGAGAGCTGCAGCTTCCAGTAAAAGCTGCAATACTCTGATAAGACTCTTGCTAACATTGGGAGCAAGTTCCTTTACCAGTTCAGTTTGCCAATCCAGACTGCTCCTCCCCAGTCTCAGTCCAGAAAGGAAGCTTTGTGAAGTGCAGTAGGTGTCTACTCTTGCTGGGCAACAACTGTAAATGCTGTGATGCCATTTTTTAATCCTGTCTGTCCTGAATTCTGGGAGTTGAATCTGCTCCTGCAAGTCCCTTCAGCTCCCCCAAGACAGTTGGGGTCTCACTTGCTGTGCAGCAGGGCACTTCCTGCTTGCTGTGTTACAGTAAGGATCCTTTTGTGGCCACTGTGTTGGCTTGTGTGTGTATGTAGTAGAAATGCTTTTGAATCTATTTCCAAACAGTCTAAACTTTTTTGAACAAGAACAACTTGGGTGAAATGGGCATCAGGGGGTGATTATGATAGAAGTTCTCATTGTGCCTTAAATTCAGTGAGGCAGTGTGATATGCCTGTCTGCATAACTGTAAACATTGCTGTCCTGGGTTCTGTTCTCTACAGGATCCTACTGCTGCTCATTATATGTTCCAGGATGACCCTTTCCTTATGCCAAGAAATGCAGCCAATTCTGTAAGTATTTCCTTTCAAATCCCTTATAGCTTCCCCCATCCCTCCCTTTATGTAGGCTATGACAACTCTTTTCTAATTGGAGCCTAGTTTTGATTGCAAAAGTAAATGGAGTATCAGATTTCTTTCAGAATTTTCTCCTGTCTCTAAACAGAGAGATACTTGTGAGCTTGAGGTAGTAGTACAGCATTTCAAACATCTGGTACAGGGCTTTGTCCTTTGAGTAACAAGGAAGTAAACTATAGGCACATTTAAAGAACAGGTGTTCATACACTGGCATGAATACCAGAATGTTATCTGGTATGTTGCCTTTATTTTTTCTAAGAGTTGAAAACAAAGCATGAGTTTAATTTCATCCCATCAGAATGCTCAGTGTTACAGAAAATGTTCCTTCTCACTCTCAGCCTTGTAATTGTGTTTCTTCATCTTGTTCTCTCTTACCTCTATGCAGCGTCTGTATTCGTTGTCAAAGGAGTCTGGGAGAAATGCTGCAAAATACATCATTAAGAACTTTCCTCAATACTTTGACAAGACTTTTGCAGAGCCCAATGTACCAGTAAGCTTTTTGCTTTTTGTTCTTATTGTACTTGTGTGATGTCAGTGAAATCAACTGTCAGACTGGCCTGAAACTAACATAAAAGGATGATTTTGTTAACTGTTTTGCAGACAGTATGAAAGCAGTACTGTATTGCCATTGTGTTTCTGCAGTGAACATGTTTCCTTGGGAATTCAGTGTCACATGAGGTTCCTTAAATGAAAAGCAGTGTTGTTTACTTGTCAGCTTAATGGCATGAAAGTGAGAGATGAGGGTGTGTGGTCTTTCATCACCAAAGGACTGATGTTGTTGGGCTGGCACTGCCAGGAGGTTTATCGAAACTGTGTCCTGGATGAAGTCAGGATGTTTGGGTGGTGCTTTAGTGATGGTTTAGAGAAGGTTTGAGCTCATGGCTTATTCTTCTTCTTTGCTTTTAGTGCTTGATGCCTGAGTCTCTTACCCCTCAGACTGAAGGGGTGAGTGAGGAAGCTCTAAAGGAGCGTATCCAGCTCAGAAGGGTGAAAGAGTCTGTGGATATGTTTGATCAGCTTGTACAAGCAGGTATGTGATCACCTGCCACATTCTGTGGTGGAGCTCTGCTTAAATTGTGCCAAAAATATTTCAGTAGCTGGCACAGGCTATGGAGGCAGTTTTGTGACTGTGTTGCTGCCTTTCACAATTGACTCTGCTCTGGTGAAGTGATTCTCTGGAATTATTGGAGAGTAGTCCAATCTTGGCCACTGCTTGTCTGACCTGTCGCATTGGTGATAAGGAGAACAAATGGTTTCTTGAACAGGAAGCTGATGAAATCCTTTTTTAGGTTTTAGATCTGTTGCACAGAAAGTGAAACACACAAAGTGGTCTTCACAGCATGGAGTATCCTAGGAGTAGTGATGAAAAGCACTAGAAATTGCAGATGTTGCTTTGGGCTTGTGCTGCTTCACAGTTCTGGCTGCCAGCTGCCATTTCCCTCTCCCACTTGATCAGGAAAATGCTCCCCTTACAGTGGCTTCAGTACTAACATGGATACTCTAATTCAGGGTTAGAATTGTCTCCTGTTATGAATGGGTTTGTGGCAGTGTTGGTGTCACACTCAGGGTTTACAGATCTGGTGGAGAATGTATTTGTGTTGAAAGAGAGTAAAGGAGTGTAACTGGGGTGTCCCAAAGTTTTCTGATCCAACTGTAGAATGATGTGTGCTTTATTTTCACTGTGACTGCCATACATCCTCGTTTTCTAAAGGTACCCCTGTATCTCTGGAGACCACAAACAGCCTTTTAGATTTGTTATGCTTCTATGGAGATGGAGAATCTGCTCTGGAAAAAGAGGAAGAAGGAAAAGAGGATTTGGAAGAATCAGAGGTACACAAAGCCTGTTCATCTTTTATTTATTTAATACATAGCAGGAGTATATCAAGGTAATGTCAAGTTTTTTGTATTGTGACTGTCTGCCTGGCAGATGGTGTGAGGTGGGTCAGATGCAGTCAGCATTCCCAGGAGTTATGACAGTTACCAAAATCCTGTGGATGACCTAGTAGCAGCAGTAGTTTCCATAACGCTGAACTTAGTAGCTGGAACTCTGTCTTAGATTAGTTCTGCTGAGCTGTGCTTAAATGACTTAAACCACCTTAGGTCCATGCTACTGAACTTGAGTGTTGTTACCAAATCATGTCATTTGATGTTTAATCATAATTTAGAACCCTGAGAAACTTATTTCTGCAAAAATTCCTACAGGTGAATGCTTCAGAGCAGAATGCTCCAAAGAGACAATTCCAAAGAGGTCCACAGACATCAGGCCCTAGATGGAGGTATAAAAAGCTGCCAGTGTTCCTGTATTCAGTGGGTTGTGCACAAGCATTGATGTTGTAAAATAGATTTCAAGTCCTTTTAGCAGCCTATATTCATAGCTGTTACTTGTTAAATAAACCTGTGTTTGCTAATCTTTTAAAATGTGGATGGAAATCTGGGGATTGTAGAATAGCTCAAAGTATGACAAGTGTGACTGTCAGTCCTGGGGGACACAGCCCCTTACTTTGTTCTGCAGGTTGAATCATTTTCCTAAAAGTATCTTTTATTGGGTTCTTTAACATTCATCTTGTTCCTTGATTCTAGGGAGAACAACCATGCTGAAAGGATATTTAAGATAATGCCAGAGAGAAATGCACACTCCTATTGCACAATGATCCGTGGGATGGTGAAGGTAAAGTTCTCCTTCAGTGCTTGGGACTTTTTTCAGCTTGTGAATTCTCACACATAGAGGTTGTTCATTTCTGTTGTTTTTGCAGCATGGAGCTTCTTCTAAAGCTTATGACATGTACATAGACTTGCTGAATGAAAGGCACAAGGGTAAGTGTCTCCTGGTTTTGCTTTTTGGTCTTCTAAGTAACAGAAGCCCTGTGTTGGGTACGTGAATGTTTGTTCCATGGCAGTGATGATTGGCGCAGGGGTACGGACCTCAGCTAGATCATGGGAGCTGAATGCAAACTGGTCATTTTGGTGCAGCTGGCATGTGGTTGGCTCACTGGAAACAGGTTTGCATGAGACTTTGCCAAAATCTGAGCCATGTTAGAACAAAATGTTTTCTGTAGACTGGAACTGTCAGTTGTAATGGATTATCTTACATTTTCCAGCTGATGTGCACACCTTCAATGCTCTGATTGGAGCAGTCCCATATTTAAAGGAGAGGTTCGCAGAAAGATGGGAATTAGCCAAGGTAAGGAGGGCAGCACAGAAGAGGTGGGAAAAAGGTAAGAGTGTAGGGTGTAGGTCTGTTTCATCAGTAAAGTTTTGCAGTTGTCAGAAGACTAAAAGCAAGAACATTGTCCCAAGATACTGATCTCTGCTGCAAAGGAAATACACTGGTTTGAATGTAAAAGCTAACTATTGAGGAGTGGCAAATGTACAAATTCAACATTGTCCTCGCAGATTGGTTTGCTTCATTAGGACATAACCTGATTCAAGAACTGCCTGGACAGAAAGTAATCAGGGAAATTATGCTGAGATATAAAACAAACTGTTTTAGATAGAAACTCTTTGATTTGTAATTCATGGTGCTGTGATAGAAATGGAATTTTGAGGGGTTAGCATTAGAGGGTCTAGATTTAATGACATAACATCAGTAAGGAAAAACAGTATCTAACTATAAATATTTCATTGATGTTCTAGACACCATTCTCCAAGGTCTAATCTGATGCAACGTTGTGGCCTTGGGTTTTGGTCAAAGTAGTTAAAACTTAGTACTCCCTTAATACGTGATCAGTTGAGGTAGAGTTGTTCACTTGAAGGGGGTGAGAAGGGTTAGGTAGAGGGAAGTGCATGTATGAAAGCTGAACTGTGATCCATAACTGTGAATGTGAAGCACTAAGGGATTCATGGATTTTGTTTATTTAAGGACTTCCTGACTCACATGGCCCAACAGGAAGTGCAACCAAATCTGCTAACTTTTAATGCTGTACTGAAGACTTTGAGAAGATGTGGTGGTGTGGGCAGAAGTGTGTCTGTATTGGTACTGAAGGAAATGGAAGCACTTGATATAGGTGAGAGAATGGGAATGGTGGTTATATTCCAGTGCCACCACCAGAATAGTTAACTTGAGTTCAGCAGCACACAACATGGTGATTCCTAGTGGCAGGGAAGCTGTACCTCACAAGCCCACCCAAAGCTTTTCATCTAGAATGTGGTTTTTTATTTTAATTAAATATTGCAAAAACAGGGAATAGCTGCACAATTTGATCTTACATCTCGTGGAGTCTGCTTTGCCCCAGTAACATGCTTGTTGATGGGCATCGATACGTTGATGGTCAGAAGGGAAACTAGCTACGAAGTATTTTTGGGTCTAATTTAGAGCAGGGAAGCTTGACTGCTCACTCCATAGAAATGTGATGTTCTGGCTGGTGGTGCACTCAGATAGCATCTCTGGTCCAGCATTAGGGTGGACAGGGTGAGAAATCAGAGTAAATTTGTGCATGCTGCCTGACTGGGAAGGCAGGGACTGTGAATTTGAGCTCTGGCATAAAGCTCAGCCAAGAATGTCAAAGTAATTCCTGTGTTCTTGCTTTTCAGAGCCCAGCCTGGCTACATACAATCATCTTCTCTATATATTTTATAGAGGTGGTATGTACAATATCAGCTTGTTCATGAATGTCTCTTAGCATCTGCTCTAAATGCTTTCCAAATGTGATGGGTGAATTAAAAGACAACCTCTTAGTGCTACCTGTGCAGTTTGATACTGCTGGAGTGAAGAAAAAGCCACAGAGGATGATAACCTCTTACAGGGAGCACATACTACTCAGTCTCTGTGGGGGCTTGATCTGACTATAAGGCATGTGATTTCATAGACTTTGCTACCCAGAGGGAAGAAATTACACAGTTTTTCTGCAACAGTTCGTTGGAGCTGTCCTGAAAAATAGCTGTGCTAAAAGGCAGGAGTTTTGTTGTTCAAGATTCCCCTGCCCACAGATTTTTGTCTATGGAAAGAGAATAGGCACAGTAGTATAATTGCAGTCCTTGTGTTTTAACAAATTGGGAGGAACTGCTCTGGAGTCTCTCTGGGTTTGGTTGTAGATTTTTTTTTCTTCCTCTTTAATTTGTTTGTGAAATGCTTTGCTTTTCTAAGTGCAGCCTTCTAACAGAAAGGCTTCCAGGCCTGTTTGATTCCTTGCTAGAAAGCACTTATCTATCTGAATCTGCTCTGTTGTGCTGTGGAAATTGACAATAGGGGGGCAAATTTTAGAGCAAATAAAATTGCAGCTGTTGTGGAGCACCACGGGAATCATGACGTTTGTTTGAAATGGTGTCGCTTGTTTCCATTTCCATATTATACTTGCAGCTGATGCTCTTCACTAAGGCAGTGCTTAGCACAACTGAGATGTGTTGTTGCCTGTTTCTTTGCAGTTGACCTTCACTCATCAGGCATCATCTCTGAGGTGTTAGATGATGTGGAAAACAGGAGTTTCACTCCCCAGGACCCCGATGATGGTAAGGACTTCGATATATCTGGCAGTCTACATTGATTGTGCTTGGGGGAAAAGGTACATTTGAATTTTGGGTAGTTTGACTCAGATAGAAAAAATGCATGCTCCTTACTTCTCTCAGTGCTTCTCATGCTCTTTGGAGACAAAGAAGGACAAATCCCAGTTCCAGGAATTGTGATGTGCATTGGCTTCTGTGAGAAGTAAGAGTGTTACCCACATGAATGAGTGTTTGAGCCCCACACAATAAAAGAAACCCCAAGGCTGTTTAGAAGATTAATTTAAGGAGACACATCTGCCAACAGCTTTGTTAAATGATACAGCTGGTAAACAGCAGATTTGTGTTGTAGTGTGCTATGAGTTCCTATTCTGGTTCTTCCTAATCCTTTTCAGGAAGTTTCATGAAATAAAACCTCATGGAAAACTGAAGGTGGGTCTGCAGGAGGGATAAGACCCTGTACATCCCACACATCACTGTCTCTTCCTGCCATCTCTATGCACACAGCTTTGCCCTAGGATGTTCATAAGCCTTTCTGTGTGCTTGGAAGCAGATGGAGCTTCCATGTGAAGCTGAGTCTGGCAAAGGAGGGGTCTGTAGGCAAGGTGGCATTAACAAGATGTTGGAAACTACTCTATTAGCTGACATTCCTGTATGGGACAGGATGAAGAAGCCATTGCAGCACGTGCCATGGGATGCCAGTGAGGCCTTGGTAGATTTAGGCCGTTTGAAGGACAAAGGTTAGGAGATGTTATGTTGCAGTAGCATATTAGGTAATCCTACCAGCGTGGTTTTTTGTCTTTGGAAGGAATCCTGGAAATAGAATGTTGTACACCTCCTTTTGTTTGTCCTGCTATGTATGTTACACTGTTTCTTGCTCTGCTCCAAGCTGTTGCCAGAAGGGTATAATAAACACCCAACTCATGCCACACCAAAGTTTCTACTTAGAAAATGAAGATCCTGCTGCCTTGTCAAACTGAGCTACAGATTCAGCTTTGTAATTGAACTTATCTGTCCTCTCTACCTCCTTGAAAGTTTGAAGCTAACAGATATCATTTTCTCCCTTTCAGCCAGCTTTTTTACCACCGCTATGCAAACGGTAAGTGTCTCTTCCTGTCATCAGAATTCCTTTGAGCCCTTCAGCTGTTTAAGAATGACCTGTGAATTTTCCACCCTCTCATACAAGGTTTAGCTCTAATATCTCCCTTTTTTCACCCATGTTCATCATTTCATGTCACTTTCCTCTATAATTCTGCAGTTCTTTGCTTGATGCCTTCCAAATTGATAACTTGCGTGCCTGGGGTATACGCATGTACCTTTGAAAGTGAGTCTTAGAGGGTTATGGAGTGTTATGTTGGATTGCTTGAAAGTCTTAACTGGTTTGTTGCAGTGCTGTGATCTTAAGGACATCAAGCTTGCCTATAGGTTAAATAAGGCAATGGAGAAGGGAGACAACTGGAAATTCTTGGACATGGATCGGTTAAATGGCTACTGGTAAGTGAAGGGCAGCTTATATTCAGCATCTTGTGTATTGTCAGCTTGAATACAAACTAGGATGTGAACACTGAACACCAGCTGGTTACTGTGTGTGCAGTTTGGGAATTAGGTCCCTCTTAAGAACAGTGGTTTATTTTCAGTTTGTGGCCTTCAAACTGAAGTCCGGTGTCTTGGAGCATCAGTTTATCTCAATACCCATCCAGCAACTATACCAACCAGTTGGATTTCCTACAGTCCTGCTGCACACATAGGATGGCAGCTCAGGAGGTAACACCAAACAACAGGTTAGGCCTAGTGCTCTGCATGGTGTCAGTGAGAGGCTGCAGTGCAGCAGGTGGATTTAGGCACAAAGCTCCCATGTGGTTCCACCATTTGACACTGTAATTGTGGCATCTGAAATGCCTTGACCAATGTCATTAAGTGCTGCAGTCATGGAATGTAATTAAGCACTTGGAACATACTGATTTGAGGACTACTTAGGCATTGGAACTAGAGAAGCTTCAGTAAATGAATGAAAAATCATCAAAAAAAGATGCAGTTTCAGGGGTGGAATGATTTATATGATTGTACCTTATTTTGCCTGTGAATAAATCAAGGGAAATTAATTAAGTTCTTAGTGTGGGGATGTTTTTCCTAGTCAGTGTATGGGGTCGGGGGCCCAGGCTGGTCTTGTGAACTGCACAAGTAACAAGGTGAATTTAGTTCAGTTCTTAAAGGGCTTCTTAACCAGAGGTTTCATTTGAGACAAACTCAGATACCTCAAACCTGGTGTCAGGCAGGGAGATTGTATTTGTTTCGAGATGTTAAAATGTAGTGGTCTAACTTCTAGTTAATTCTGCCAATTGCCTGGTGTAAGCATTAAGTTCTCTGATAAAAAAATGTTCATGTTTTCTGATCGTATGGAGTATTGCAATCACACAGTGGAATTTCCCTGATCTGCAACACAAATCTAATCAGTGCACCATAATTCTGGTGCTTCTGTATGGTTTGATTGATGTAACCATTACTGAATTGAGGATGTTTTTCCTCTCCTCCAGGTCAAAATTCTTTTCATTGTTGTGTATGATGGAGCAAATTGAGGTTGTGTTGAAGTGGTACAGACAAATGTCACCTTCGGTAAGTGCGTGCTGAGCTTCAGAGCTGTAGTGCGGGGAAACAGGGCAGTTACAGGTGACTGAAATGATTCTCTTCCTTCATCAGCTCTTCTACCCAACTCCTAAAAATATATTGGACCTCCTTCAAGCACTGGATGCAGCCAACCAGTTGGATATGATCTCTTCAGTCTGGGAAGGTTAGTGACAGCCACATGGCTACATAGGCAGTTTATGTGAGAAATGTCAGGAGTGATGCAAAGTGGGAGCTAGTTTGGAAATTTCCCATAGCTCAGAATAGCCACGAGGTTGTTGTATGAAAGGCAGAACCAATAGCACAGACTATGGGAGAGATCATGGCTGTGTCACAGTGAAGTGTCAGTGTCTTGGAAAGCTGAATGCTTACAGAGAGTAGTACCATAGCCAACAGCCCAGGTTTAACTAGGTTTAACTTGTCTAAATTATTTGCCTGTTCTTTGCCCCTTAAGAAGAGGAGACAAGAATGCTGATGCACGCTTAGCACACAGAAAAGATCTGACTGTCACCAACACTGAGGGGACAGACAGGTTCTTGTAGGCATCCTTGGCAGAATGGTGATAGCACTAATTTGTAGTGGAGGTCTCCCTGGCTACAGGGGTTGTGAGTCTCACTGTCCAGCAGCAGTTCAGGTCTATGTTCCCTCTTAGGACTGGTAGCTTCTTGATTTTACAGACAATGCTCTGTTGCTGTTTCCTTCCCTGTTCTGTGACAGGGTCATAGCCAGGTTGGCCAGTGCCAGGGACCTGGAAGGCCATTAGCAAGGCAGCACCCAGGTGGTCTGGCTCCCAGGAATCTTGAGGCCAACAGGGAAAGGAAGAAGTCTCTTTGGTTCATGTACTTGCTGCACAGGACCTTTAGGACCCAATAGTGAGGGGAAAGGGAAATAATATGTGACCCACTCAGTCACAGAGAATGGCTCTTTGCCTCATTAAATGTGTTAATTGTACTGACCACACTATCAGCAGTTGGAACAGGAGCTACTGGTCACACCTAACTAGTGTCTTTCTCTAAACAGATGTGAAACAGTTGGGGTTTAGCAGGAGACAGGAGCTGCTGGAAGAGTTCTTGTCTTTGATGAGCAGGGATGAGCACCCTGATGAGGTAAGGAAGCTGCTATGGTGAACAGCTGAGCACCACACAGCTGCTTGCTCACTCCTCCCTAGTGGGATAGTGGAGACAACTGGGACAGGAAAAGTGCAAAAACTCAAGGAGTTCATTCACCACCTCCCATCACAGGCAGGTGTTTAGCCATCCTCAGGACAACAGGGCTGAAAAGCTCATGTGTGATGGTTACTTGGAAGGAGAAATGCCATCACTCCTAATGTATCCCACTTCCTCCTTTCTCCAGCTTTTATCTGCTGAGCATGAGATACCATGGTATGGAATATCCATTGGGTCATTTGGGGTCAGCTGTCCCAGCTGTGTCCCCTCCCAGCTCCCTGTGCACCCCCAGCCCACTCACTGGTGGGGTGGGGTGAGGGAGCAGAGAAGGCCTTTGCTGTGTTAGCACTGCTCAGTAGTAACAAAAACACCCTAACATGCTTTTCATTCCAAACCCAAAACACAGTCCCAGAGAAATAAAGAAGAAACTATGAAGAAATTTAGTTCCATCCCAGCCAAAACCAGCAGGGAAGTTCAGTGAAAACAGCAGAGATGTTTCCCTGTTTCTGTGTACATAAATGTTGTAGTATTGTCCCTGGTCAGTCCTAGGGGTCCAGTTCCAGTGCAGAAGCCACTGCAGATTTACAGATCCGTGTGAGCTTATTCAGGCCTGCTAAACCCTTTGAATTGTCTTCAACCTGTAGAGAAATCTCAAGTTAACACAGAGCAGGATCACTTCCTTACTAGGGTTTGGAAAAGTAATGCAGCCCGGGCAGCCATGTCTCTGGGGAAGCACATGACAGAATTCAGGGATTTTTGCCAAGGATTTTATCGCAGTAACTGACTGAAGAGTGTTAAAAGACACATGTGTTCTGCAGAGTTTTCCAAGCACAGCTGTCCCTGCAAAGCCACCTTGGAGCTTGGCTAGTGGGGACAGTTGTCCTGACAGAAGTGAGATTTTCCTGCCAAGAGTAATTGCTGTTAACTCACAAATTTAAATCACTTATGGAGCAAACCTGTAGAAGCTGCAGGAGAAATTGCACTGAAAAGGTTATGTTAACTCTAGAGCTCTGGGGATTAATAGCACAATCTTTTCACAGATTCAGCTGGCATTTGCCAAGTGTGCTGAAGACATCAAAGCTCTCCATGAGCCAGCTGGGAGGGAGCAGGTCCCGTTGGAATGGACAGGCAGTGCTCTGGGCAGTGTTGTTGTGCTGTTTTCCAGGGCTGGGAGGACCCAGGATGCCTGGTACGTCTGGGCTGTCATGAGCTCTTGGCTCCCTGGCACTTAAGGCTTAATCACAAAAATCAAAACCTAACTCTGATTGCCTAGTGCAGACAAAGGGAGGGGATGAATCCTACTGGGAATGTAGGTGGGGTTTTTTCTTAATGGTATTGTTCATTCTTGGCACCAAGTTACAGTTGTCTGTCTTAAAAATTAGGTTTAAAAGTTAACATAGTAACTGGTGTGGAGCCTCATTCAGCTGGTTATGGTTTGATTATCACTTCCCTGAGCACTGCTGATTGCTTACAGTTTACCATCTTCTGGTTTCTTAGAATTCTTCGGAATTCAAACTGCTAAAGATATGAATTAGTTTAATTAAACTAATTTTTAATTAGAATTAACCCTCATTAAAATTCTAAAGAGACTGTTTTTAGAATTCTCCATTTACTGTCCTGCATGCTCTGAACTTGAATTTAAGGTTCTGAGCTATTTTCTGTTAAATACAGATGTTCCCTTTGCACTGATTCATTTGAAACACAGAAGTGGCAAGTACCCTTCTACAAATATGTAACATTTGAAAGTAAACTTGCCACCAGCAACACTTTCTATGTTTTCATGCAGTAGTTTAAGATATTTTGTGTTGAACTAATTGTGTTAGCTGGTACAGATTGCATTTGTGAGACCATGACATGGCATTCAGATCTGTGGGGAAGGTTGTTCCATGAATTTGAGTTTACCTGTGTTTCAACAGGTGCTTATTCTAGAAATTGAATATCTGTTCCTACGTTATGTAGGTCTTTTTAATGATTGTTTTCTTTTGAATAGGAACATGATGAAGCATTTCCAGCAGATCAATAGGATTCCTACGTAAGTACTATTAGGTTCTTCAGGTACTGAGTTTCCCCTTTGGTTTGATTTCTGTTATAGAATCAAGGAATAGTTGGGGTTGGAAGGGACCTGTAAAGGTCATCTGGTCCAACCTCCAGTTATAACTGACAGTAGTGATCCATTTACTCCCAAAACACGAGTGTATGTGTCTGTCCCTGTGAGCATGGCTGTTTATCCAATATCTGTTTATCCAATGGATATATTCCAAGACATTTCTGTCTCAAAACATGTTGAAAATGCATAGGTAGGGAGGGGGTTAAGTGCTTGGTCCTTGAGATGTCATTAACTGAAGCTCTGGGCCATGGAGGGCAGTGACACTGGTGAACTCAGCAGTACAGATCAGTCTGAGCAGGACTCCTGAGGACATATGTTTTCCCCTGTCTCAGAAAAATTCCAATATGCTCTTAACCAAGCACAGGTGCTTCAGAGGATTTCTGAGGACAAGTTTATCAAGTCAAATCCTAAATCTCACATGGAACTCTGTTAGGCTACAGCAGTTTGCTTGTCTCAGGATTTTGGGGGTAAACATCTGTTTGAAGTAGAACAGAACTTCTAAGGGACAGTAATGTGGTTTGTTTGGGTGGTTTGTTTTTTTTTTTCAAATAAGAAATTGGAGTTTGCCCAAGCAAACACCACGAAGGTATGTGTTAGCAAAGGCCACACACCTTGTGGCACTCTGTGCCTGCCCTTTTCTGCTGGGACAAGAGTTCCCAAACTCACCACATTGGTACAAGGTGAAGATGGGTGAAATTCTGGTGGGAGCAGAGTTGGACTGGTTGAGTGATTTGAAAATGGCACCTCCTCTCCCTCTCTAAAGCACAGGCTGTAAGGTAATGGCCTCCTCTCCCATGACCCTGTGAACAGTCACTGTTTGCCTTTCCCTTTGCAGTGACAAAGTAATGGATGAGTTCTGGACCTGTGCTAAACAAACCAATTGCCCAGATGAGGCAATTGAGCTGGTGAAGCTGGCAGCATCCCTTGGCCTTCCTGCATCTCAGAGGCTTAAATGCAGAACAGAGGAGGAATTTGAACTCTCTGAAACACAGAAGTAAGTTGGAATTTTTCACGTTACTGCTGAGGGGGTAGAGTAGACAAGGTGTTGGAGGGATAATTCCTGCAGAATGGCTGCTCTGACAAGGGATCAGAGAGCACAGAATGATGTGCTGTTAACTCTGGGACTAAAATGGCCCCTCAGTTTCTGATTCCATGTTGTATCCACCCACCTAGGAGGGGAGGAAACTCTCCATGATGGGGTTAGTCATATCTCATCACTCAGACCTATTATTCTTTGTCAGTCTTTTCCTAGCTGGGTCTGGCTGCTTAAGGCACTGCTCCAGCCTAGTAAAAGCAGGGGAGTGGTATAGAATGGCCCTGCACATGCAGGTTCTGAGGCCACCACTGCTGAGCTGCTGCAGCTGAGCTTAAATGATGGGCTGAGCCTTGTGGGACTACAGTTCGGAGCCAGTGGTCGGGTCCAAGGGAATGAATAAATATAAGCCCAGCAGCTGTCCCAGCACTTTGAGGGTAACTGAAGTAGGCTGCTATTTCAAGAGGAGCTGGGTGTGCTTCCAGTAAATGCTGGGTGGACCTGTCCTTTGAGGACCGTAGGCATCAGCCAGCCCATAATATTCCCTTTGGCGTGGGTTTGCCCTGGTTTGGGATCCCTTTTCAAGCAGAAGTCATAACTGCTGACTGATCACTGAACTGTTGTACATGGCAGGAAGACACTGGAGAGTATCAAGTGGGACAGCGACAGCAGTGATAGTGACAGCGACAGTGACCGTGAGTAGCTGTCCCTCTTGCCTTCCATGGGGAAAACTGGGAGCAACCACTGCTGAGACACCAAGAGCTTTCTTTGAGGAATGCAGTACTGAAGGGACAGCTTCTGGGAGGTGCTGCAGTACTACTGAGCACTCAGCATTCTGGAACAGGACCTGCTTGGCAGGACACATCCTCGTTGGAGCAAGGTAGAACCTCTTCCACACCACCACCTGCTGGCACTGGCTCCTGCCTTCTTAAACAGCACCACTGAGGTACCAGAAGACTGACAGCTTGAACAAGACTTCACTTGGGCCTCCTGTGACTTGACCCTGTGCCAGATTTAATTCCTTTCCCACTAACTTGAATGAACTACTTAAATACCAAGTTTACTCCACCTGTAAACACTGCAAGTAATACAACACTCATTGCCTGTGGTGTTACTGCTCATCCTTTAGGTGTTTTGGGACAGGCTGTAGACTGTAAATATTAAACTACACTCTGTGCAGCTGGAGACTGTGTCTAATAAATGGCTGACATTAAAGCTGTTTGTATTCTGATAATCCCTGAGCAAAAGTGGTGATTATGAAGTGTTGCTGCTGCTCTGTGAGAGAGTAAGTTGAAGTTCAGGCAGAACAGAGCACTGTAAAGCCAACGAGAGGCCTGGGAAGACCATTAACTGGCCCTCACAGCATTGTGCTGTTGGTCTCAGCTTGTATAGCAAGCTTGAAGGTTTTTTTTAAGGTAGTTATCCTGAATGGGCAAAGGATTGCTCCTGAGAGAAGAATTACACTGTATTCTAGTGAAGAATAAACAGTTGATTCTCTTTGTGAAAACTAAAACCTCAGTGTGGATGGTGCTGCAGGGGGTAGAGCCAAGAAAAAGGGCTTTCAAGAATAGTGACACACTGCTTTATCCTGCCACTGGTTTAAAACTGGAGCAGCAAATAGACAAAGCCCCAGTTGCTCATTTCAGCAAGAAAGTACTAAGTTATCAGTATCTCTTCGCTGATGGCAAGAATTAGGGGAAAGTTAAGGAAGGAGCTTGGCTGAACAAAGTTGCTTCCTGATAGAAATACCTGGTCTAAAACTGCAGCAGAGCAGGTCTGACAAGAGCCGTACCAAGTGTATGCTCTGACAGCAGCTTATGTCTCTGCATCCTGTACTCATACATGGACTACTGTTTTTAAAGCTGTTACAGATGAATGAATCACAGCAGTGAATTCCTGCTCCTTGAAAGGAGCAAAATCAAGTTTTAATTCTTCAGGTGATGGAGAAAGGCTGTGCTTGTACTGCCCAGCTATATTTGATGTTTAAACAGGAGACTAAACAGGAGCAAGTGGTTGAAGTCTTGTTTTATTCAGCTGACAAAGTGGCAGATGATTAATGGCAGGTTACAAACATTATGGCTGGATCACAAGCCCACTTGGTAAGATGGGGAAACATAACTCTTACACAAATTGTAGGGAAGCTTCCTGAAGTTGGTTGTCAGGATAGGTCAAAACCATTAAAAATACAACAGGTGGTGAAGTTAAATACAGTGCAAGGAAACAAGACCATACCCGTGCTTTGATGTAATGCTTCCAGTCCCTGCCAACAGCTTGATTTGAACCCTCAGGAGATGATGGGATTTCCTTTCAGTGCTGAACTGCCTCCAAAGCTACAATCCTAGCTCACTGCACTTGAGTTGTTCCCAACCCCACGGCACTGGCGTATGCTGTCAAGATATCCACAATTTGTTTGGTTTCTAGGGTCATCCGCGCTTCAGTCAGCCAGTCGTGTGCCACCCTCCGCGACTCTCCTCTCAACTGGTTGACAAATTTGGCTGCCAGCTCCAGGTCACCATGCTCGATGCAGTAGGAAGCATAAGACAGTAACTTAAACGTGTCAAGGTCATCAGGGCTGAGCTCGGCTGGAGGCTTCAGCTGCTGAGGGTGAAACACCAGCAGCGACTGCAGGTAGGACAGGAAGTATTGGTACAAGCTGTTTCTCGTTTCGTCGATCATGGCCACTCGTTTTGCCAGTTTTTGGACTGTGTGGAAACGTGCTCTGAGGGCCTCCTCGCTGTACACCCCCCGTGTCAGGGACTCCTGAGGGAGAGCTGCTGTTAAGGCTTCCGTGAAGGCGTTGTCGGAGCAGCTGGCTTTGATGGCCTTCACCGCCTTCTCCAGGGGCTCCGTGGGACTGTCCCCTGTGGCTGTTCTCATGCAGTATTTGAGTGCTTCCACGGACAGCCACAGCTGATGAGCCTTCCTGGCTTCCTCCTCTGCCACTGCATGACCTGCAAAGTAAGCCAAGAAGGGATTCAGCTGTGGGCACACATGTATTTGAACACAAGCCATCCCTCTCCACACTGCCTTCCACAGCAGTCACCCCCTTGGCACATGCTCTAAAGCAAGTCTGTCCCACAGTTTATGGCCAGAACAAGACAACAGCTTTTGGGAGAACCACTGTGGACTCACTCAGCTGGGAGTTGCTCAGCAGTGTGGCAAACCCAGGCACTTGAGCCATGTGCCTAAGCCTGGGTTTAGGCACACAGGTTTGGGTAATGTGCCTTTGGGGATCATGACTTTACTCCTTCAAGAAATGGGATTTCAGTGCTCACTCTCGACTGCTTGCTCAATTCCCTTCAGCCTGGCATAGGCAGTGTTGATATCCAAGGTGAAGTTGTCAAGCTGTTCCTGAGTAAGGCGTCTGAACTGCATCTCCTGGTCACTGAGCTTCTCTGACAAGTTCTGAAACAGCAAGTTATGTGCATCAGACCACAATAGCAGTTAATTATATTTACCTTAATTTTAAGACATGTTTCTACAAACCTGTTGTCCTTGCTAAGGACAATGTACACAGGAAATACAATATACCAGTAAGAAAAGCCTTACTGGGGTGAATTCAACAGTTCCTGCACTTGTGTCAAAAATTTGTCACGTATAGCAATTGCTTTTAAGACCGATCTGAATGAACCCTACACATTGAGGCACTCTAAATCACCTCTTTTTGGCTGCCCAGGGAGGCTGTGGACACCCCAACCCTGGCAGTGGTCAAAACCAGGTTGGATAAAGCCTTGAGCAACCTGGTCTAGTGGGAGGTGTCCCTGCCCAGGGCAGTAGGGGTGGGACTCTAGATCTGTTAAGGTCCATTCCAACCCCTAAAATTCTCAGATTTCATGAGGTAAGCTTGGTTTCCCCTCTCCAGCCTCCATTTCCATCTCCTGGAACATTCAGGACACCTGTCCTGTGAAACATGTGCTTTGCAAGGGTCTAAATACTCTAATTCGCCTGGGGACTCTTCTCCCTTACCTGCTCAAATTCCACCTTTAGTTCCTGCTCCTGGATCTTCAGAACATCTCTCAGGTGGTCGGTGTGGGCAGCAGCCTGGCGCCGGAGCTGGGTCCGCATCTCGCTCTCCATCACCTCTCGCACTTCTTCAACCTGGGCACACAGGAGCTCTTGTCACTACACTGTTTATTCACTGCTTGTCACACATTGTGTCACACACCAGTGATTAAAGAGGGTACATGTTACAGCAGTGGCATTGACAGAGACCATGTCTCATCTTAAAAAGCTGCAGAGTTCCAGTTTTATAGCTGAGCCGTTCCCTAAAGATGGTAAGGAATATCTTCGTGCTCCACAATGCCAGTAACTGGTGGTTTGTGCATATCAAAATAGTATGTAAAAAAATACAGCAACACATCAGGTGTTTCTAAACCAGCTTCCAAACTAAGAGACTTACCTTCTCCCTACAGGCTGTAGTACTGGGTTAGTCACAGTGTAATAAAATGGTAATACCCTTTTTACCTGATCTTGTATAGAACAGCCACTTAAGAGAACCCAATGCCCAAATTCCTCCATTTTTAAGTTGCACTTGCCTCAGGTCCAAAGCAGTATTAAAATTCTGAGATTCCACAGTCCTTTTGAAAGAACTCAAACCACTGGCACAGAGTGGAAGAACATGGAGATACCTCCTGAAGGCAGGAGGCAGGAACTGCATAGCCCTGTAACAGCCATACTGAGTCAGATCAAACACTGGAGGCACTGGCACAGGTTGCCCAGAAAAGCTGTGGATTCCCCATCCCTGGAAGTGTTCAAGGCCAGATTAGATGGGGTTCCGAGCAACCTGGTCTAGTGGGAGATGTCCCTCCCCATGGCAGGGGGTTGGAACTAGGTGATCTTTAAGGTTCCTTCCAACCCAAACCATTTTGTCATTCTACGATTTATTTTGATCCAGTAATCTTATCTCCAACAGCAGACAGGTAACAGCAAACTCATTCCGTTTTGCTGTATGATTTTACCATTCTAAGTTCACAGGAATTTCCTTGCTCAACACCTCCTTTCCACGCTTAGTCTGGGGGTGACTCTATCTGAAGTCTCCCACCCCTCAGAACATCCCAGTTGCTTTTCTGTGCCCTTCCTCTAGCTCTTCTACCTCCTTTTCAAGCCAGAGATACAATCAGGTGTGCTAGGCCACTTTACCTTCTTCTCCTGTTCTAGTTCAATCTCGCTTTTGTGACGCTCCAGTGCTTTGGCCACAGCTGCCTCAAATGCTTTTTTATCTTCAAGTTTCTGCTTCTCCAGGGCTGTCTCAATGTGCTGCTGCTCCCTCACTCGCTGCTCAGCCAGCTCCCTGTTCAGCTGGTCGATGCGCCGATGGGCGTGTGCAATGAGGGAGTTCAGGTCGTCTGTGGATAACTGCCCAGCTAAAGGAAACACAGGGGATTAGGGTGGGATGCAGAGAAACTGCCACCAGGGTGGCTCACCCACCTGCCTCTCTGTGGGGCTGACCAGTGAGCTTGTTCTGTGTACACCCTCTGAGCACTTCAAGCCCTTGACTTGTGCTAATGCCCACCCGAGGCCACTTTCAGACCCACACTTAAAACTAAGTCCTTTTATTCTAGGACTTTCATTTTAATTTCTCTAAATTATCTTAAGTTTCTTCCAAATTATTCCCAGCTATTATTTGCACTCACAGATCCATGTCACAATCAGAGGAGACTGCTGACAACTGCCCATGTCTTGGCCTTTACACCACCACATATCTTCCCCTGTGCCAGTACACAGAGCAGCAGGGAATGCAAACCCTTGAGCAGTGATACCTCCAGCAGGTACAAGCTTACAGAAGTGTGAGCCTGAACACACTGCAATGGTAGACAGCCAGAATTATGTTCTCTCTTCGACAACCCTCCAGACCACCTGCTCCAAACAT